CCAGATTCACTTGTAGAGATTGTATATGCATAAACGCATCTTCCCCCAAACTCCCAAGGCGGAAAAGTAGATCGGCTGGCCAGAGTCCAAGGGAATTCACCTTCCAAAGGGAGATGACAGCTTCGTTGTATAGCTGAACACATGTACTTAGCAGACCGAGAGCGGGAATAGGAGAGCTTGAAAGACAAATGTCGTTTTGGGGGTCGTAGGGAAGGATTTGATAGGTATCCTTTAGAGTGCAGCGGTAGGTGACACAGTTGTATTGGGTTTGAAAGGCGTATTCATATATTTCGTCACGAATCTCCCTGGGAATGTCGTTTAACAGATTAAGAGGCTTTCGGACCTGCATTTTGACCCGAAAATTGACGCTGAATGGGATATTTGGGTAGAAATTGAGAGCTGGGGCTCGCAGGAACTTTAGATGTGAGGGTACAGAGATTGGCGGTTTAGATATAAGTATTATATTGGCGCATGTTGAAATTGAAGTAGGCACACTGGGAAAAGATAAAGTGACATACTACGCATAGAAGTTACATGCATGTGCAGGAGATGTCAGTGTTAAATCGCAGCCTCATTGTGCATCACTGATTCCGCGGCTGAAGAAGCTGTGGTCCGCGCCGGTAACCCGCATTTTGTATATTCTCCGATGATCTTCACATGGGTTTGCTCGGAAGCGTGAATTACTCGTATCTTTCAAGACCTGTTACGCTGCGGAATTTGACATTATTGAAGATGATCTAAAATTAGGAACCTCGGATGATCGTGACGATTTGGCTGTAATGAATAAATTGAACCTAGTTTTCAAAATGTGACTAAGTCTCAACTCGAAAGCTTTGGATGTTCTAGAACTATTCATCAAGCAGGCCCGATTTCTTCAGCATTTCTTTATCCTACGTCCGGGTATAATTTTAATCTCTCCATCTCTTGGGTCAAGCTTGAATTCTTCGACAGTCTGCTTTCCTTCTTTCAAACACAGCACTCCATCCACATATAAACGTCCGCCGAATTCATTATGAATTACATATAACAGATTCCTTGTATCTGCCGTATCAATCAGCATCTCAGCCAACCATTTCCTCTTTGCCCAAGGAGACAATCGAGGCCAACTAGTATTTATCATCCAAGTCCGAGGTTCCTTGTCTGCCGAAGGAATACCGGGGTACTCCTGATATAGCCTCCCATCGACTATTTCTCCATTCTCCCTTAGATCAAGGATATCCTCGAACTCCTCTACCGTTTGTGGCCGTTCCTTATTCGCCTTGATCGTAATACCATGCAGATTTTGCAAAGACCCTGCCGTTGATGCCAGACTCCTGCAGATCCATCCTAATTCATCCCAGTCCATAACCTCCAATTGTATAAGTATATGCCATCGTGCTGTTTCGCCAAACATCGAGTATATTTTTTCGAGTTTGTATTCCAATTGGGTAGACTCCCGCAGGCTCAATCCTTTGTGCTCCCAAATCACATCCTTGCATTCTCTATGTATTTGTTTGCATGTTCGAAGTATAGAAAGTGATTGCGCGACCTCTATAGACCATGGCAAGAACGTAATGACACCATCCGGGCTTCCCAGAATGTAAGTGTAGATTGAGTCGCGGATCTCTCGTGGTAGTGTTTGGAGGAACGGAGGAGGCATGTCGATAAATGCAAGATGCAGTTTATATGCCGTTATTGTACGAGAAGCTGCAGTCGCCTAACAGTGCTTTGGTTGACAGAGGATACCCTGTATATTCAGAAGTTGCCTTCAGAGCCACCTTGGCCAGATTCTCAAAGCACTCCTCGCCCGGACTCATTCAAATCCTCCAAAATGGGGAGTTTCAAGGTCGCGAAGACTTTTTGAACCTAAGACCGTAATCAAAATTGGACTTTTTTCAGACAATGATGAATGAATTCTATCTGCAGCCATGCAGCCAAAATATTTTGAAAGTTATGGTTGTAGCCGCCACAGAATGCGCTAAGCCAAGTAAAAAAGATTTCGAGGACGGAATGATAGTTCTTCTCTTAATGTAAAAGTCCATAGAGAATATGTATGGAATAAAAACCTACCTACCTAGATACCTGAGATACAAATTGATTGTTGTTGCCTAATCTGTACATCTTGCTGCTATCATGAATGTTTCTGCCTTTTGCTTTATGAATGAATGATTAAGAAAGACGCCAAACTCCGACAGGAATGTCAATATGATAGATGCGAATGCAGTGTGACTGTTCTAAGCTTTGTGCGCTAGATGAATTGTTGATCTAATGATATACTGTGATGTGATGTCCTGTGATGCATTTTCCGGCGCCATCCCGAAAACCACTTTACGCGTCAAAACACGCATTGACCTTAAGACGCGTCGCGAATTCAACCTACTGATTCATAAGTTTTCGTTCCTCCATCAACCAACTTATTCAAATTTTGTACCAAGTGATCAATACCTTCGCTTTTTGCAATTTTCACCTTCCTCACATTCGCAACTTTGCTTGTATAGTTCTTGCCTTGCTTTTTTGGGTTATTCTTGCATCTTGTCAAAAATACAATCATGCCTTCGGCGATTAAAAGAAGGAAGGTCGCGGCGACTACCTCGAAGAGTGCAACGACTACCAAGATTCAAGCATTGAGTTCCTTTGCTACAATTTCAAAAGCAAGTACGAAGAGGGGATTGAAGTCAATTGCTGATAAGACTAAACAAGTCGAACTGGTATCAGTTACTGGATTGGATAAACCTTCAATAAATTTACGGAAGAGGAAATTGGATACGGAGGAGGAATCAAGTATCTTTGAAAAGGCAACAACTGAGAAAGATGTTAAAGTAGCTTCACAGCAATTGATGCTTCCAGCAAAAGTTCCAAAGACACCGCACAAACCTATCAAAACATCCTCAATCACCACCGATACCCCAACCAAAGGCGCGCGTACCCTCCTCGATCGCCTCCTCCTACAAACTCCAAAAAGACCTGTACAGAAAAGACCTTCTTTCTCGTCTTTAAGCTCCATCTATTCGAGTTCTGGCTCAGAAAAGTTAGCACTTACTCTTGCAATACCACAAACTTGTGTCGATGGAAAGGAGGAGGAAGGAGAAACAAAAGAGGATCTTAAAGAATCCATTCCTGCCGAACTCATCGACATCATAAATCTACACGCTGCTCTTCTCACAGCACTTACACTCCATTGCGCCCACAATGGATCTAATGCGCCCGCAGACTTACGTAATCTCTGCCCAGACGTCGCCCGAGCATGGGGAAAACGGAAGGTTATCTTGGACGACATCCGCCAGGCTCTTGGTATCCTAAACTCGCACATCAACGGCAGCACAGAAAATAAGAATCTGTCTACCATTACTCTTTCGGATTATGGATTCGGGAAGATATGTGTGGAAATTGAACCCGGGAATGGAGGTGGAAAGGGCAACAATCTACGGCCAATTGATGAAGAGACACTTAATGGCATATTTACTCAAAAATTAATGGTACAATGGGAGTCGAAGGAGGATGATGTCACAGTTGAGGTATTTATGAAGGAATTACCACTAGAGCCAATCACACCTTGTTCTTCACTCTCGAAAATGACACCCCTCCTGGCCAAAGGACAGCGTCGACTCGAAGATATGAAAGCAGGGATTGTCGCAAAAAAAGACCTCAGAAGAACAAAGTCATCACCAGCTCTTATCGGAGCTGCAACTTCCAAGTCCACTTCCACGTCTGCTTCAACTTTTGCCGACAAGAAACCCACTCTTCTCGAGCGTCTTCGCGCCAAACAACTCAGGCAATCTCTCCTTCCCCAAGCTCCTTCTCCCGGACAAGTAGCTCGGAAAGCAGCTTTATCAAGAATGGAAGAGGTGGTTAAGGTTCTCAGTATCGTCAGTACATCAGGATCAGCTGGTCAACAGAGAATTTCCTTCACAATGCCGACTCTAATTGGAAAATTGAAGGATTCATTTAAGACTCCTTTATCGAAAGATGAGGCAATCACCGTTGTGAAACTATTAGCAGATGAAATCGCGCCGGAATGGGTCCAGTTGGCGAACATGGGAAAGATGGAAGCGGTGGTCTTTGATAGAGAGAGGAGAGTTGAGGAGGAGAGTGTGAGGGAAAGGGTAAAAAGAGCTCAAGGTACTTGAACTTATTGTTGTGTGGGATATTTAGGACGAGGGTTTTGAATGAGTGCTGAGTACTGTATATTTTATTTCAAGAAGATACCCCTGTTTTTGTATAAATTAGATGCGAAATATGCTATGGTATAACGGATTTGTATGGCTGGTCAGATCATACGGGATACAGGACAATGGAATACAGGACGAGGGAATAAGGAACACGAAGAAAGAAAAGGGTATGGAATAGACAGGTTAGCGCAACAAATAGTTGCTCAATGTATTTTTCTTCCTCGATGTTAGTGGTTGCATGAACAGCTAGACTTCTTTTTGTCTTCCCGTACTTATGTTGTCCTGCAACCCCATAAAGCACTTGCGTCGGTTTCCGTTCTTTGTGCTAAGTGAACGGTTAATTAATATCGATCATGAACGGAATCTGCCCCGCAGTGCCCGCAACATGGAGATTTTTAAGTTTGAACAGACAAGAAAGTAATCGTCTCATAAAGAGCCAGTTAGGTGAAGGCATATTCAACACTCTATCAAGAACAAACATGGACAGAGGGACATGGACGTGTTGAAAAAATGGGAGATAAATTCTCTATTGTGTAAAATACCATTCGCCTGACACAATAATATTAAGATACAATGCAACGATACTTATTTTTTATAGATCTAATGCTTTCATTTATTCCTTCATGCATCTCGTCTATTCATAAACTCCATTGCTTAAAGCATCCACCATCCACCAAGTCATCTCATATAACTCCCTTCCTGGACATCGCATCGTCTGCATCTACTATTCGTCAGCCCCACCTGGAGTACCAGTCTTAGGTGTTCCACTCCTCGCACTCGGTGGTCCAGACGTAGGAGGAACAATCTTAATCGTCGTCTTAGCAGGCGCTGCCTTTGGTGCAGGAGCAGGCGTAGCACTCTTCTTTGGACCTCCAAATTTCGAGGCTCCAATATCGTTTCCACGTAACTTGATGCCCAAAACTCGTTCCATATTGTTCAGAACCTTCTGATCCGGCGTTGCGATACCTCTTTCCATGTCATTGACAATTTTGGGGGTCGTGTTGCAAAGTTTGGCAAGATCAGCTTGGGTTTTGATGTTCTTGGCCTTGCGACCATCTTGAATGGCGCGGGCGACTTCTGGACCGACAGTCTTTGGCTTAATGATTTCATCAGAACGGTCGACTTTTGTGAGATGTTGACCTTCCCCCGATGAGCCCTATTGGTAAAGTAGATTAGCTCACGGCCCAATGTCGCCAGAGGAAAGGTCAATGAGGGGTCGCATGGTGGAGGGGTAAGCATTGATACGCGGATGGATTTGACTTACAGCATTGCCGGAAGCAAATTTCTTCTCAGTGGTAATAGCTCCTCCACTTCGCTTGGCGGCGTTCAATGCAGCTGCACCTCTAATGACAGTCTCCCTGTTTGCGCCAGCTCCTCCACGGACATTCTTTCCAATCTTTGTTACGGACTCCCAGTCTTCCATTTTGATTGATTTGCGTGAGGATATTTAACAAAAGTATTGCCTGAAAGATATAATGACTAGTTGAAAGGCTATTTGAAAAGTTCTTGAAAAGAACTTGAGATAATCGACGGTGATGTTATTGTTATAATTTAGAAGCTGAAGATGGATTGATGACTTTATTTGTTCTATTTGTGGCAATTGGTAGCGCCTTCCTCTCGCCGAATGAATCAGATACAAAAAGAATTTGTTATGTAAGCAGTGCTAAGGCAAAGTTACGTCGACAAAGCGGCGAGAGCCGTAGAAAAGCTGTATCGGGATAAGATGATACGGGCAGTATATCCTTGTACGACTCTCAGACTTTTGATACCTAGGTACTGTCAACCAACTCATTGACCCTCCAAATACGTTTCGAATGTTTTCACACAATCTCAGATGCTAACGCTATTGCTCTTCAATCTTACGATGAGCCCGAGATCATCAAGATAGAAGTTTTCCTCCATATCTTTTCAGGCATCACGTTTAACAATCTATCAGCTAGAATTAATTTACTCCGCCGCTTACGGAAGAAAATGCATCATCAAAGACCTCAATATTGCCTCCCTTGAATTTTCGAATTGAGCCATGGGTATTTCCTATTTTGCATCCACCTCAGTTGCACTCATCGGGCTGTTCGGATCAGTATCCGATATCTCAAATCTCTTCGCTTTTACAATTGTACATAATAGATACCTCCTTTTCCATACATTTCAAAAATATGTCGGTCTATCTACTTTCATCGCTCACACCGGGAGCATGGCTTTCCTGTTTGCACTTCTCCAGATTGTTCGGTATTTCCGAGGACTTGAGGTAGCATCTACAAATTTAGAAGGTCAAGTTCTCAAGCCTATGTTTTTCCCTGCAAACACAAGTCATCTAAGACTGTTTCCAAAGAAACATGGTTTCTCATACTCCTACCTCCTGACCGGCGTACCGGTTGGATGGACGGGATCCTCGGGAGGAATGATTTCAGTCGATGAAAAGAATAATGTATCCCCTTGGTATAAGAGGCTACTATATTTTCAACCTATGAGTCCTTGGTATGTTGTTGATGGAGACGCTTATTTGGATCGAGGTCATGTACCTGGTGGATTGGAGGGTAAATTAAAAAGGTTCCTTCACGATCAGGTAATGTTAACTCTCCATATTTCGAAATCCAATTAACATTATCCAGGGCTTAAATCATGAAGACTATCCGTATGCCTATCTTATGACATCCTCCAGATTTTTGGGGTATCAAAATAATCCCGTCTCGATATGGAATCTCTATTCAAGGAATAAAGAATTGAAAGCTGTTATTCTTGAAGTTAACAATACATTTGACGAGCGTCACACCTATTTTGTCACATCAAAAGATGTAGAGGCTTCTATGATAGAGAAAACAAAAGGGAAGCCACCGAGATTTACAAATACCTGGTCCAAGGAGTTTTATGTTTCGCCCTTCAACTCTCGAAGCGGTTCCTATTCCATCTCTGCATCTGATCCATTTTTTCCATCGCTTTCCGGAAGTAATAATCTCGATCTCACGTTGACTCTCACTTCCACCGAACGTGCATTTTTAGTCGCGAGAATTTTTTCCGATGGCCCTGCACTCGATCCATCCACAATGTCAGTACTTCAAAAGACTCAATTCATTTTATCATGGTGGTGGGTAGGATTTGCTACATTTCCTCGGACACTAGTTCAAGCTTCCATATTATTCTTCAAACGGTCATTACCCTGGGTTTCGCGCCCAGAGCCATTGAAAGTGACACTTTCAAGACATGCCGATGCAACTCAGAAAACTCTCGAGGTATTGTTTAGGCAATACCTTCAACATCTTATTGAGACGGCGGATCAACCTCTGATTCTGAAGTACCGACCTGCCGGGCTCCTAGATAATAAAGTAGAAATGATGTATTCGCCCTCAGCCCAAATGTCTCCACAATTAGCGGAACCTATCGAAATATCAGTTTTTACACCGATTTTCTATACTCAGTTCGTCAAATATATTGATTCCATCCAAGCTCTTGAAATGGAATCAAAGAATGAGATCATATCTATCTCGAATGCTGATCTTCTATGGGCACTACCCACCCAGCTAGGTTTGCAGCCTGGTATGCGACCCGAAGATTATGGTTCGTCAGATATCAACACCTTTTCCTCCATGTTCTTCCGAATAATCTATTCTACTCGTATCCTACCACGCCTCGAATCTAGTGGCAGTGTCTTTTCGATTTTTGACAAATACATTCTTAAGGAAACCGATCATGCCACCCCGTCGCTATACCAGCGGATGTTGTTTAAGATGTGGCTCAGTGATTGGGTTGCTTTTGGATGGATAGATTTGTTGGAATTCCAATGGTGGCTAATAAAATCTGGAGTTTCTTGGTGGGTAGCGGGAAAGTTATGCTTGGTGAAGGAGTGAATAGAATCTAAGAGCTTCGTTAGAACAGGATGTTGAGAATAGATGACGCGTTAGATGCGGAAGAGATGGCAAATACTAAGATCCGGTATGTATATAGATAACAGCCCTCACAGATCGAATAGAAATGAAGAAGTGTTTTGCTTCTGTCTGTGGAATCAGGTGATAGGGATTGAGGTCGGCAACTTTCATTTGTGCATTTTTTGTGATGAAGACATAATAATCTATGTCACTATTCCATATGATCATTTGCATGAGCATTTGATTACAGACCTAGAATTATCATAAATCACTCATATGACCGCATAAAAGGTACCTACTTAAACAAAAAGGGCCGGGGATAGATGACATCGGCCGATACATTGGATACGGGAGTGCTTAAAACGAACCAATCCTGTTGATGAATGATGAATTTGGCAGCACTCAAAGGCTCCTGCTGTCCAAATTCAGTATGCAAAAAGAAAACTTTCCTCGTGGAAATGACAATTAAACCTGTGGCTGAGGGAAAAGCATCTGGGCAATGATGGGAAGCGATCGCATTCTACGAGTATGTTCGGGTTTGCCTGGGATGAAAGAAATGCTAAGTTTGCCGTCACCCGAGAATATGTCTCTCCACGGCCAAGCAAGGGGTCCGGCTAATTATGTGTCGCAAAAAGAAAGCAGCAAAGATTTCCCAATACCTTCTATTGGTGGAAACTCCTGAGAGTGAGAAGAAACAATTGCCCTTGATTTCCACGCGTGCGCAGCCATAAACGCCTCAAAAAAGAAAAAGTATCGAAGTGAAGAGTGAAGGGTGAAGGGTGAAGGGTGAAAATTCCTCATTATGCCTTTTTCCTACCAACTTTCCGGTCAGAGGAAACATTCACGAATTAATCGAGTATTCCACTCAACAGTGTACTCAGAACACTACCATCCCAAAAATCTCAATTTCACCATCCGATCCAATAATTCCATACAAATCCTGTTCTTAACCTCATTAATCCTCTTCGCTGTCTTCGTTGCCGTCCCGTCAAAGGCTCGGTCGAAGGTACCATTCTCAATTCCAACACTAGAGACCTTTCATTTCATACCCATCTCACGTCCAAATCTCAATGCATTTATGCAACAATCTGAAGTAATATATCAGCGAGGAGTGGCGAAAAGAAGAGAGATTAGACGTGCTTTTCCAGATCGAGGGTTCTTTCCTGCCAAGGATGCAAACACTTTCAAGGAAACTCCATGGAGTATTTGGGATCTAGTGACCCCGAGTTATGGTTGTCCCTGGGAAATGGAGAGACTTGGTAGGCTTGGGGAAGGAGGTTGGTGGATTTGTGGGATTAGTAAATTTGTGGAAGGGAAAAAGCCTTGCGTGGTTTATAGTTTTGGCAGGTGGTGAATCCTGTGATCAAAAGGTCAAAGTTTTTTAATGACTCAAAATAAAAATAGATGTAGGAAATGACTCCTCATTCGAAGCCGAAATACTTGGTCGAATAAATTGTGAAGTTTGGGGTTATGATCAGCACGTACCAGGTTTTAATTTTGGTCTGGAAGTAAATGAAGAAATGAGAGGAAGGGCGCATTTTGAGAGAAATGGAGCAAATGGAGCTACGGATGAAGGGAATCGGCTTTTTACCATTCAAGAATTTATGAAGAGGAATGGGCATGATTATATGTGAGCCTCTCCATATCCATGTTTTGATCCTTATCAAATTCTTTTTACCCCTTTACCTTTACAGAAAAGAGGAAAGACTCATGCTCGAGATTTCGGTAAAACAATGACATCCTGAAAACGGATATAGAATATTCGGAATATAATAATCTCTCTTCTCTAAACGGCCACACACTTCCTTGAGGAGCAGGTGCACTTTCGTCTCCTGATGCAACAAGACCGGAATTTCCCATTGGTCAAATATTGGTGGAAATGCATATTTTTGAGTGGCAAGGTATTACTGCAAGTGTTTTTCTGGACTGGTGGGAAAGTATGGAATTTAGGGGGTTGAGGGATCTGCATAGAGAGATTGACACGGTCGCACCAGGCATGGGTGTTGAGGGAGGGGGAGTTAAGTTGTGTAGTGTGAGTATTCATTTCCGTTGACAGATTGAATATGATGCGCTAACATGAGGAATTCTACTTAGTATACGTTGTTAAATGTGCAGGATTCGAGAAATAGACTTTATCATAGGTGAAATGCTGTTAGGTGGACAAGAGATATGTCTCGAGAAACGATTTGGAAGAGGTTCATGGTTCTTATCAGTGGAAAGAAAGTCTTTTGTATGGGCGTCATATGGTTTTACAGATGTGAATTTGAGAAGAATAAATATAGGTATGATACTACAATAGTTTCAATCAATACTTGCACAAATAAGTCTTGCAATTAGCACCTAGTATTGATCTCACGATATGTTGGAACTTGAGATACTTGATGGCTTATGGACGAGAAAGATTGATATTTCTAGCAGGAATGTTGCCATATGTATTCTAAAATTTCCCGCATGGAAACATAATACATCTGTTACATTTCACAGGGATCGGCGTCAAACATATACTTATCAACGTATCTGCCTGAGGGAAACTCATCCCTTGTCTATTCCCAGCATCACCATACTACTTTCGAACACTCCTACATTCGCAAAACTATGCTGTAGGGCTGGGCATCTTGCAATTTTTAGTGGCCGACGCCAAATTCTTCATATTCTGCACAATCCCACCTGCAAAATCTTTCTTCAATTTTACAACCGTTGCATTGCTTCCGGCGACATCGCATGCCGTCAAGCTCATGGTTAGATTAAACTCTTCCTGCTGCGCCGTCGCGACAGTAGCCAAACCAGGTATTGCCGCATTTCCTGTCGGAGCTATCTTTTGGTTGTTTTCTCGAATTGCAATTCCTTTCTTAACAAACTTCAAAAGTGAGGACTTTGCTGCGTCAAACATTGAGGAATTGAGGGGTGATTCCTGAAGGACTTTCCCCACAGCTTTTACGGCTGCCTGCTCCTTACGCTGGTCTGCAATATTTGAATTGATTCCGGATGCGAGGGCCTGGACTTCTGGAGAGCACGGGGTGGCTGTTCCGGTAGATATGGCAACGCGGGTCATTGTAATAGAAGGTTGAAACTTGGCAGCACCCATTGGCAATGTTCATTACTTGATGGGAAGATAAGCCGTAAAGCTCAGTGGCTAGGGTGGACGGTTTAGGTTGTATGGGAGTGGCTAAAATAGAGGCACTGGCCAAGAGGAAGACAAAGAAAGTGCTTCGGATTGAGGTTGGCATCTTTGGAGAATTTTTATTTCCTTTTTGAAAAATGGAAAGGGGTGTAAGACTTTGAGGAAAGGGTCAAATTTCGTCTTGGCTAATACCAGCCTGCTGGTATAATTGAGGGAAGTGATGATTGTGAAGAATAAGAGTATGAAAAGTTGGGTATGATGAGATAATATAATAATTTTGTAGACCCGCGCTGTGAAGAAATTTCAGATGTTGAAACACGGTGGATGAGACAAACTTTAAATTGGACGTCATAAACTTGATGATTGAACTGATGAGAAACACTCGTTCACAGGTTGCGTGACATTGATCTTGACTTGAGCTAGGAATCATGTAAGAATTTGTTATTCGACTTGGAAATTCTTTTTTTGCTGCAAAACTCCAATTTCCCCCATACGAAAAAAAATGATGAACCCATTTCGTTTACTTCACCACTTCATGGTTCAGCAATGCAGTACAGCGGGTGTTGGGACTCATGAAACGATCGGAAGACCAAAAGAATACCGCAAGAATAGGGTCAAAGACGAGGAAAGCAAGCTTCTCTCGATTGGGTGATGGTCAAAATCCTTAGGAAGTCCTTTTAGGAGAATCTCGTTTTCCCTAATATTTTGGTCTAATGCCTGAATTCGGCGTCCAAGATATGTGCGCAATGCCCCGCGACATCCCCGCCAAGAAAGCTTCTTCTAGCGATGACCACTTATCAAGAGTCGAAAAACAAATCCGAAAGTATTTCGTTGAGTAATTCGCGACATAACGTGCCTCCAACTTGTTCTTGGGAAAGTTTATGCTTCGGTTACAATAGCTTCCAATGAAATCTTTAATCTTTTGATACGACTGACGTTCGTTTGACCCCGCTAAATCACTCACTACACAACCTGTAATCACAGAGCTTAGGCCGGCACCCCACATCAATCGCGGAGTGTCAACCACAACGCTTTCAAAGAACAAGAACGAATAAGCATTTCAGTGTCGAAAATCCAGCATGGCATATGCGGATGATTGCGAAACATGTTTTCAGGGAAGAGATGAGAATGAGGAGATCACGTAGAGTCGGAAGCTGCAAATGAGAAAATTGGTGAGTATCGATTTGGGCTGACTATCACACAAATACCGAGTAGATAAGGGACTGACCCGATTAACGGATGTCGCAGCAGGATTATTCTTAGTTTCTGTCAACCACGACTCTCGAACATCATCTATATATAATTGCTAGTAGAAGAAGTTTGCCACTACGAGGGTACTTACTGTCACCAAAGAACATTATTAATCTTACAACCATTGAGCTCACTGCGCGGGGTCCACGGAAGGAAACATGAGGTGATGAAGGACCGAATTTCCGCCACCTAGGAGTACTTGAGTTCTTTCCTGTAAACTATAACCTACAACACGTTGTTTCCATTTGCGGGGCGTATTGCCTTTGCTGAAACTACTGCATGACGGCCATTGCGGTTCCAAATATCCAACGATTGATACCGAGGATATTCCACCTCGGGATGATCACCGAGAAATCTGATGAGTGTTTTCGAACATGGCTTTATTGAAGAGTGACATGATGTATCTTGTATCTAGACGTGGTATGGTATTGTTTCATATGTTAAAATGTTCTTTCTTTCATAAAAGTCAAGTGCCCCCTTCCTCAGCCACCTCTAATCTTGGCTACTTTACCCTATCAAAAATTATGATTTTGATATAACGTGGTTTATCAGTGGGTCGGACACTTTTTCAATATACTTTACTCTCTCACTTCAATACGCGTTTATTCAATAGTTATTAATAGAAATTCATTCAAAAGAAGCACGAATAATCCTGGTTATTGAGGTTATTAAATTGAACAAAAGATTAACGATTCGAAAGATTGTTAATTATTATAGTATGTGTTACGCCGGGTAACAAGAAGACGCTCACGTGTTACCAATATCATGTGACTGACTCAGTGAGGATCAGCAAGCTCAGTACTGAGCCATACTGATCCTACTGATCAGCTAGAACACGAAGGTCTATATAATCAAGATGGATTTCCTTTGTATAGAGCTTCGTGCTCAAGATCAATCATTTAGTATACTCTACTATTAGTTACGAATTGCATATCATTATTGTCATTACTTAAGTCCCTGCTTGACGCCTAGTTATAAACCACCTCGAGAGCCTAGAGCACTTCCACGTGATCTAGACGGCAAACTTCGTAACATTATATACTCGAAATATGAGGTACGAAGAAGATTGGAAAACTCTGGGCTCATCGCTTTATAAAACGATATTCAGAATTAAAGATATGTTTTAATTGTATTTATAATTTTCAAAGAGCTTTTTGCAAAGATTCAGAGTTTATTGAAGAGTGATTTCGATTGGTATCGAATATACAAGCGAAATATGTGTAACGATGCTGTACTAAAGGCAGCGGCTGCCTAAGGTTCGTCGGTTGGTAGTTATGGGTTAAGGCTTTATTACTGGTATTCACTTGAAAGTGAATTCGTTACTAGATCAAGTAGAATGTAGGTAAACTAATTGATAACTAAGTTGAGCACGAAGCTCCTAAACTACAAAACTACTCTGACTATATAATGAACGATAAAGGGAGCCCCTAAGAGCTTTCTGGCTCCTCAGGGCTCCTAAAGCTCTAGGAGCTTTGAGGGCTCCTAGGGCTCCTTATCATGTGATTTCTGATGATGCGTGCGCATACGATCTTCAGGTGACCAAGATCATATACTAATTCGATGAAATCTGATCGTGTTTGTACAAGGCCTAAGCTCTCCTAATTAATCAGTTTGCTACCATCGTAACACCATCAATCCTAATGGTGAATCGTGACAATATGGAATTCAGGATTGCGATTTCTACAATTTCGACGAAATAGGCTTTATAATGGATATAATATATTTTGGAATAGTTGTAATTAATGTTGAATGAATGTTACGAGGTTTGCCGTCTAGATCACGTGGAAGTGCTCTAGGCTCTCGAGGTGGTTTATAACTAGGCGTCAAGCAGGGACTTAAGTAATGACAATAATGATATGCAATTCGTAACTAATAGTAGAGTATACTAAATGATTGATCTTGAGCACGAAGCTCTATACAAAGGAAATCCATATGGATTATATAGACCTTCATGCCTATGGCTAGTCAGGACCGCT